AGCACTCACGGTTATGCTATAGGAGACCAATCCAAACAAAACGACAAGAATGGCTACTATACACTCCATCATCACCTGTTCAAATGAGGATAAGATAACACACATATATATTACAATATGGTTAATAAATTAGGTTTAATAATGAACTGCACCTCTAAAGTATGTATTAATCTTTGTTCATTTTAATTTCAACATTTACTAAAACATTGTTAAATCAACAGTTAGGCTAATGTGTTAACTAACATAGCCTAATGTCACTGTATTTGTCATTGATTGTTAACGTTAGTTAGTAAAAATAGGCTACAGTCCATGTTATTTGTGTTACTATACTGTTAACAAATACAACCGTTGATTTTAATAACGGATTAGTACAAAGATTAATAAATTCTGTAGTTCATTATGAGTTTATTTTAACTAATGTAGTTTGCTAATGTTAACTAATGAACCTTATTGTGTTATCGAACTAACTAACGTTCCCATCAAGACGATCAAGTTATGAAAATGGTAGGCTATTTCCGAAAGTTTTTTTGAACGTTCAAAACATCTAGGCTAGATCTTGGAGTGAAATGTAAACCTGGTCAGATACTTAGACTGAATTATAGGATAAGTTTGCAGATTTTAACCGGCCAGTGTATGCAAATGTTCACTCAAATATTTGTCAGAAAAAGTCCGAAAAAGATGCGTTCAAACTACAAAACGAATTCCCCTCAGCAGATCGGCAGAGTGCATTGTGGGTATTGAAGTTTTTGATCAAAGGAAGGTGCCACAGTCCCTTATCTCTATTTTATGCATGCACACTGCATTTAAAAAATAAAATCCCGCTTAAAATATTACGATCTGTCATTTGAGAGTAAATCCAGAAAGGCTGATAATCGATGGTGGTGTTGAAACGTCGTGAAAACGCCTCGCCTCGCCGCGCCGGTTCCGCCTGACTGAACTCGACAGGAGCACAAAGCCGGTGTTTTCTGCTCTGGTTCTGACTGTCTGTATCCGGGCTTTACTGGGAAACACAAACACTCTCCGCTTTTGATGATTTTAATTACAGCTTTTCTATGAAAGCAGAGCAAAGACAGAAGAGCAGCAGCTGAAGGTTTGTGTTGTCTTTTCATGCGACCGCAGCCTTTGATTCCTCACATCGCTCAGACGACGTGACACACACACACACACACACACACATCAATCATTCGTTTCTCTGCACTGCTTGTGACTGCTCAAAGTTTGCTTTGAGTTTATGCATAGCCTACACGTATATCCTCCCTCAGGCACTGGTTTGTTTGTGTGTGTGTGTGTGTGTGTGTGTGAGTGTGTGTGTGTGTGTGAGTGCGTTGGGGACCAAATGTAGGCCTACTACATTTCCCCACAAGGATAGTAAAATCATATATTTTTTTGAAAATGCAGAAAGTTTTATTTGATGGGTAGGTTTAGTGTGTGTGTGTGTGTGTGTGTGTGTTAGAGCCCGACCGATAAAGGATTTTGAAGGCCGATACCGATACAAATATTTTTGGGTTTTAAAATCCGATATATCGGCCGATATTTATTTTTTTCAGAAACGCGCAACAAAACATTAACAGATTTCCCTAACATTAGTTATTTGTAGTTATTTATGAGTTTTAACTAAAATAATATGATAATGCATTTAAAAAGAAACTTGTTTCTTTTATTGTCACAACAGAACAGACGGATGATAGTGGCGTTAGCTAGCTTTGTGGTTAGCTAGTCTATGATGAGCCATAATTTAGCAATGGATTATGTCATACTGCAAATTGTAAAACATACATTTTCAATATAACAGGCCGAGGAGAGATGATGCGTCTCATTGCTATAACTGTCACGCGCTATTAAAGAAATACTTCAGTCACATTGTCAAAAGTTAAAAGGACAGTCAGTCAACTACACTGTAGCAAAGTAACGTAACTATTACTAGCTAATTCCGCTTCACTCTCGGCTTATTTAACAGCAAAACTGGACATGATAGTCACAAATTTCGTCATGCTTATTTGAGTTTAGAGAACTGATGCGGATGATCTTTTAATTGTTATTCAAGCAATGTATGTATCGTGACCAACTCAACGGGACGGTGTAGAGTGCCCTCTGGTGGACAAACTATACAACTCCAGCACTCATGACATGGTTCAAGCGTGTTTCGTCCGTTTTTATTTTATTTTTGAAATATTCATTTATCGGCCATTATAACTGCCGATACCGGTAGTTTGGAAAATGCCAAATATCGGCCGATAATATCGGCCTACCGATATATCGGTCTGGCTCTAGTGTGTGTGTGTTTGTGTGGTGGGTTGGTTTAGGTGTTTGGTTAGTGTAAGGAGACAAAACATTTGTTTGTACAGTATAAAAACCATTACGTCTATGGAATGTCCCCACAAAGATAACAAAACCATGTATGTGTGTTTGTGTATGTGTGACTGTGTGTGTGTTCTAAACCCATGAGCCAACTGTCCAGGTAAAATCTGTGTTAAAATCCCTCACTTGAGATCCACCAATAGCAAACCACAACAAGCCAATCGAATCCCACAGACACAACCAATCGTGTCTACATTTGTTCTTGTTCCAGAAGCGTTTGGCTCAGATATATACGACAATACAATAGAGAATTTGACTTTAGTTCCTGATTGACTGGTAGATGTTGTAACTACACACTCCGGCAGGAATGGTGTGTTTCTCTATTTGCAGCCAATCAACTGTAGATGTTATTAAATGTACAATTTAGATATTATGAGCGTGAGCGTTACAGACATTACTGCATATCAATTTACATATCAATGAGAGAATCATAAACCTCCACTACACATTTGTTTTCCATAATGATTCAGATCGGTGACCTTTGACCTAATGCATTTAATGTTTCCTCAAATTCAGGCCCTTTTATGCCCTAGGGATTGTTTATTTAAAACTAACATCACATTAAGTTCACATTAAAATCTTTAAAAAAATAAAACTAATTGTATTACTTTTTTTAGATTTCATTTTTTTTTACTCATGTCCCAATTAAATTAAAATGCATGCTCTGTCAAATTATGCAAAATGTTTAAAATAGTCTAACATAAATGATACAAAAAGATGAAAATGAATATAAAAATTACCTGACTTTCAACCAATAAGAATTTTTTTTTTTGGCTCATCATTATTATATTATGTTGCAAAAAATATTGTGGTAAAAAATATTGCACATTGCAAATTGAACAGATATGATAAACATGACCTTTTTTATGATTTCCGGACTTGATCTACAGAGAAATGGAAATACAGGTTCTAGAAATGATTCAATATGCGGATAATTCGTTTAGGCTATCTCAGAAGATATATAACAAGTCAATTTCAGCTCCAAAGTAGTTATAACGAATATAATTTTATTAAGAAAACTAAGAGGGAGAGGGACAATTGATACATATGTTATAAGTTATATATGTTTTAAGAACGTTTTGCATGTTTTCTGATGAAAATTATGTTTTTTTTTTCCTTGCGGTTACGCGAACATTCCATTTTAGAATGTTTTGAACATTATGCGAATGTTATAGAATGTTCTATGAACATTCTAGCGCATGGGTCACCAAACTAAGGCCCGCGGGCCGAATCAGGCCCGCCACACCCCTTTGACTGGCCCCCCAACCCCTCTGCCCCCCACTACTTGAACCGGCAATCCCCAAAAGTCGTCATGGCCTATTTTTTTAAATTGCTTTTTGGAAAATAATAACATGTCTGCATTTGGTATTTTGTTGTTTATTGAGCATGCTCACCTGGATAGGCATAAGAGCTGACTAGTTCTATTACTCATGTTGTTGTTATAATTTCAATGTTTATTTATTTATTTTATAGGCCTATTTATTTGACCTTTATTAAGTGCTGTACACAATTATTATAAATAGTAACAGGCCTACCTATAATTTATAATTTTTCATTCATCCTTACCAGTGCCACTCACCTCAACTAGGCAGATGTTTCTTACCTTGACAGGTTTGATGTTATTTGTATTCGAAAATAAATAAATGGAAAATCTGTGGTATTTCAAATTAAAACAAAGTGTGAAGACTCGATTACTACTTTTGCAAACAACTATTAATGATAAACAAATATGGCTTTGCCAGGCTAGTAATCTCTACTATGAGGCCTGCTGGTGGTCAGTTTGGTCTTGGTCACACAATTCTATTTTATATAGCCCCGGCCCCCCATCACAGTCAGGAACGATAATGTGGCCCCCAGAGAAAAAAGTTTGGTGACCCCTGTTCTAGCGAGTAACGTTTAAAAATGATGACGAAAATCCAATTAAAAAGTTTCATTAACGATAATATTTTTTTATGCTAACGTATTGAGACCATATAACATTGAACGAGCGTTTGTTCATAACACAATGTCTGTTCATAACTTTAACAATGACGTTAGCAGGGAAGTTCTGCCGGTAATTAATTATTCCATCATCGCGCGCTCATCTGATGGTTTATTTTGCCGCCGTTATGATCATCGCATTTTTGTGATACTATTGCATTGCAAACAACATCAGTCTCTTTCTCCTCTCGGGTTTATTTCCTCCTTCAGCAACAGTTCAAAGTCACACAGACATCAGAAGCGCGTGCATGCAAGTGCATGTCTCCTGATCCACATGCAGGAGTTTCCCTCACACACACACACACACACACACACACACACACACACACACACACACACACACACACACACACACACACACACATCTCATCTCCGCACGGGACAGTCGAACCAGTCCCTGAGAGAGTGCTTCACACACCCGTTTAAAACATCACACACACCGGTATGCATATGAAAGACCAACAGTGAACATCCACGAATGCGCATTCCACTCAGAGCACATGCATAATAAACACACACCGCCAGATCCGCCAAACTCGAGCAGATAAACACACACTAATGCTGTAAACATGTTCGCATGAGTAGAAGTCTCTAACGGTCTGCGGCGCGCATCTCACGGACACAGGAATTTCCCTCGCGCATTCCTGAAGCGCGCGCCTTACCTGCAGGAAGACCAGGATCCTCTTCAGAGCTTCAGCACAACACGCACACACACTCTTCTTCAGGACGATGTGCTCTGGGACACTCTCAGGACAGGTCTGAAGCAGAGATCTGGACTGAGATCAGATCATTACAGTGAATCAGATCACTCGAGCGCGTGCATGTGAACACCCGTCTCCTCTTAAAGCGCTTCAGACTCGTTTCTCTCGGTGTGTGTGTGTGTGTGTGGCTCCACCTCGAGTGAGGGTTCAAGATGCTCTCCGCCCAGAATGAACCTGAGACAGGTAGAGCCTGAAGCTCGAGCTCAGTGCTGCCCCCCTGCGGCTGAACACAGCATTACACTGACTTATGTGTTTACACTGATTTATGCATGCATGTAAAATTTCCTTGCATTTCCAACATAAACCAATTAATGTGACGCACATTGTCAATCATACATATATGAAATACGTAAAATATAGAACAAATAACAAATAACCAGAATGTATAGGCTATTATCACACTGTAAAAAAATATTGTTGGTTTAACTTAAAAAAAGTAAGTAACCTGGTTACCTTAAAATTTTAATTATTGAACTGGAAAAAGTGAGTTCATACAATGAAGGAGAATGATTTAATCATCGGAAACTCATAATTATATGTTATCTGAACTAAATAAATTATTTAAGTTGATTTGACAAAAGAAAATATGTGACACTGTAAAAATATTGTTGGTTTAACTTAAAAAAGTAAGTAACCTGGTTGCCTTCAAATTTTAAGTTGATTGAACTGGAAAAAGTGAGTTAATACAATGAAGGAGAATAATTTAATCATCAGAAACTCAAAATAATAAGTTATCTCAACTAAATAAATTATTATAAAGTTGATTTGACAAAAGAAAATAAGTTGTGATAACAAATCGTGAATAATTTTTTTTACAGTTTTGTATCAGTTACCATTTTATTAATAATAAATGATGCCAAGATTTCTGACATTTTTGACCCGTTTCATTTTGACAAACATGCAATTCAAACACATACATTTTTTGACAGTACTAAGATATTGAAGATATTGACGACAGAAAAAATATTGATGGTTTAACTTAAAAAAGTAAGTTTCCTGGTTGCCTTCAAATTTTAAGTTGATTGAACTGGAAAAAGTGAGTTAATACAATGAAGGAGATTAATGTAACCATCAGAAACTCAAAATAATAAGTTATCTCAACTAAATAAATTATTATAAAGTAGGGCTGTGCAAAAGTTAATTGCGATTAATCGCATCCAAAATAAAAGTCTGTTTTACATAATATATTTGAGTGTGCTGTATATAATTATTTTGTTTATATAAATACCTATGCATGCATGTATATATTTAAGAATTATTTGCGCTTAAATTCTGTATATATATATAAATACATAATCTATATTATACAAATATAAATATTTTATATAGGAATAACACATTATCTGAAACATATACATGCATGTATGTGTATTTATATATACAAAATAATTATATACAGCACACACAAATATACTATGTAAACACAGACTTTTATTTTGGATGCGATTAATCGCAATTAACTTTTGCACAGCCCTATTATAAAGTTGATTTGACAAAAGAAAATATGTTGTGATAACAAATCTTGAAAATATTTTTTACAGTATATATATAAGAAAGGGAAGATCAAAGTGAGATCAAACTGCAAACTCTTTTCAGTTTCTCTGACTGATTATAACACATAAAAGAACTGTGTAATTACTTTGATATTGATGTGCAAGAGATGTCCTGTATGATGTTCTACCAACTATTCCATCTAGGAATTTGTTTACAGACCCATAGATGGCAGGATAATTTATTGACTTGTTTATTCATTGATAGGAGATAGTGAAACAGGTGTGAGAGGAACATGTACTTTCCCCGGCTGAGAGGAAGTGACCTTTCCTTCTGTCGATTCGGTCCATAAAAAAGCCACTTTGAAATTTACTTTGCTGTCTGCAATTATCCACTCTGGATTGAATGAAGAATGAAAAACCGATATCCACCACAATTATTAATTTTTATTACACCCCTCTGTGGAATGCTTGATTCGCGACGCACTTCCGTTTGGAAACAATATCACTTATTTCCGGTTATGCTTACTTTCAATGTACTGCGGTCAATGAGTTGAACAAAAGCAACTAAAATGAGCGTCTTTAATAAGATTTTATATTTTGGAAAAAGGGATATTCTGATGTTTACCGTGTGCAGAATTTTCCGAGAAAGCTGCATACAAAGCGCCCGCGCCCTCAAATCACTTGGACCTGGCTATGGTTACAAGAGGTAAAAACGATATAAATACTGTTGGTTTTCTCACACAAACCGCTCGTTTCGTGTCTTAGGCCATCAATGTGTACTTACATTTACGAGTCATTAAATCATGTTTAATTTGGACTTCTTTGCATGCTCTTTGAGGTGGTGACCATAGACCTTCATTATATGACTGACAGACAAGAATGGTTTGACCTAAAAATATCAAAATTGAAAATACTGCGGAAACAAAGACACCTACATCTTGGATGCCCTCGAGGAATTTCAAAGTGAACTATCCCTTTGACCAAATGAGAGTTAATGTTTATCAGAATCTTCTTCCGTTACTGTATTTGCACATTGGTGCGTCATGACACAGTTAAAGATGAACATCACGAAACCGATGTTGTGGTAATGTTTCGGTGACTGTCACTCGGTAACAGCTTCACCGCAGGGGTGCGAAGAATGGTTGCCATGGAAACCGCAGCATCAGCATCACAGGCTTGATCCAGTGAACGGAGACAAACGCTTTACGAGTCTGAAATGATGACTGAGTATGAAGACATGAAAGAGACACACTTGAAATAATGTAGGTCATCTGTATCTACATGTAAGAAATATTGTTTTTCCACCTTTGTTGCCGTTGACTTAGCTTGCTTCGTTGGGGACGTTAAAGTTAACATTTAATTCAATATACAAGAATAATATCGATTTGCCTGCATTGACACTATTATACAAGATCTGAACTGAGCTGGACAATGACATCACGGTTTACTCTAGAGTGGCTCTATACAGTATATATATATATATATATTAATACATATATATATATATATATATATATATATAAATAAATATATATATATATGAACTTAATAAATTTTACATTTTTACAACAAAAATCAACCATCACTGAACTTACTCAAGCTGGACTGTGATGTTATTTTCTTCAAGTCAAACTTTGTGGCATTATTTCTCTTTTAAATATCTGTAAAGCTGCTTTGAGACACTCTGTTTTGTAAAAAGCGCTACATAAATAAAGGCGACTTGACTTAACTAAACTAAAAACACAATTATTCAGCTCAATTCAGGTCAGTGTTGCAAACTTCATCAGTTATGAAGCAAATTCAGTCCAGCACGGGAGAAAATAATGTCATTATTCCACTTAGGTCAAGATTTGTATGATAGTGACAGTCGAAATGATAATGTTATGTCTTTCAAACTCTGAGCCGAATGCAACCCAACCCTGGAGCGTAACACACACACATAACACACACACACACACATAACACACGTGAGTGACTGTAAAGGCGAGAGCGCTTCAGACGGGGTCCTGAGATATAATACAGGAGCTTCTCTTTGATGCACAAACCTTCAGTAGCTTTCTGTTCTTCATGGGTGGTCAGAATGAGAGAGGAAGTGACATCATATCTCTTCACGGGCCTAATGTGTGCAACATTTCCCCGAGTGACTCGCTGGCAGCAAACGCGCAGTGTGTGAAACGGGCAGGACTGGACACGCACAACACCTCCTCTTACTCTATGGGTGTGCTGTATTGACTCTCAGATCTCTTCACACACAAAGAGAACATTCTCAGGCGACTTACAAGATGATAAATGCATTTTAAACATGAATACACCTGTATTGTCCAGTAATGCAATTGAAGGTTTATTTTTAGAACTTTACAGCGAACAAAAAATTTTTTTTTCTTAATGTGATGAACATTTTAATCATCTAAAGAACCCTTTTCTACTTTAAAAAGCTATTGTGGTTCCATTGATGTGTATGGAGGTATTGAGGAACCTTTATTTTTTAACATAAAGTAACTTTTTTCTTTTTAGTGTAGTGTAATTTCTGTAAAGTTCAACAGATGGCGCCAGTTTGCCATTTAAAATCATTTAAATAACTTTTTATTCTGTGATCTGATATGTTACTCACATCTGTCAATCGTTTTCAGGATTATAAACTGAGTTGAGTTATGAACTATAACCAGCAGGTGGCGCTACAGTAACGGGAAAGAAACTGTAGCGATAACATTTATTGATTGCAAAATAATTCATAACAGCACTGAACTTCATGTTTACAACTGGGTGATTTTATCGTCTTATCTAAATAAAACATGGTTGTAAAATCCGTCATGCTTTACTGTGAAACATGTTTTTTTTAGTTTATTATAAAGCTGTTCATGACGCTATAATAAAATTATATAGCCTAATTAAACAATTAAACATGTTTTAATTTTTTGTACAAAAATATTATAATATTATAAATACAAACATTTTCCAACCCATACAAAATAAAACAAATATGCAAATGATGATGATTTATTTAGTGTTTAAAGTTGCAAAGATGAAGGACTCCAAATCATTTATAACTTGATGTCATGATTTCCAGAATATCCCGATAATAGGACATGCAATGCAAAACACACCGATACGATAGTAAATCTGGGCCAAATAAAAACACATTATATTCTAATTTTTGAAGAATCATGACTACTATTTAACATTAAAGGGTTAGTTTAGGCTACTTAAAAATGCAAAGTGCTCTCACACAAAGCCGCTAAATTGTAGCATTCTTTACACGAAAAAATATATATAAAAATTCACAGACAACAAATTAATTATTTTAGTCATTTTTATTTTAAATATAAATAATTATTTTCTCTCATTCACTTGCATTGACGATTTTTCAACCGAGGTCCAGCGGGGTTAGCGGAAGGGAATGGAGGGATTTTACCAGCTCTATGAGATGAGGATTTAATGACAGAATTTCCAGTTTTGACTGAACAATCCCTTCAAGTCATTTAAGTAATGCCACAAAAAAGAAATGCCAATTGCAATTGCATAGGCTACTTAGGGGTAGCAACGTTGCTACGAGTTGTTAGGGCGTTGCTAAGTGCCCAGATATGGCTCTCTAGTCCCTCCTACAACGTGA